TGTTTTTAAACAGAAAGGTGAGAAACGGTTCGAGGATGAAGTTTACTTGTAACACTTGTGCTCTCTATTAGGGCATCTGAACACGAAAGAATAGGTGATATGTATCATCATTTGATATTTTTGGCAATTGATTTAACTTTTATTCTTGTTGATTTATAATATAACCCAATTTGGCGTTTTCTTATAAATTTTTTAACTTATTATAATTTTCCTCGTTTTAATCCCTTTTTTTTGGTTTCCGTTTTGTCATGGGGTTGGACCGTTTGGTGGAGCTTGTGAATGAATGGAAGGAGCACGCATGAATGTCTTTATCAAGCTTCAAGCGATCAACATATTTGCCTTTGCTAAAACTCGTTTCTATAATATTAAATCAAGCGTTTGGGTTATCGTTTGATTAACTCTATAGAATTAGTATCATCTTAGGAATTTTGAATTGATTTTCGTTAAATCACTCTTAGACCTTTTCAATTTTTGATTTGTCTATATAGATTGTAATGAGGTATTTATATCCTGACAGACTGGAAAATATGCTCCTTTAAAAAAAAAAAATTAAATTAGCAGTCTTATGCGGTACAATTAGAACTAGGTGAATATCAGTATGGAGTGTTTAAATACATATCTTTATCACTTTTTATTTTAAACCATGTGTATATTCTTTGAACTTTTGAAGTTTGGTATGTAATTGAATTAAATGCAGTACCATGTATTAGTATTTTTTCATGTTGCGTTTTGAGTGCATACTATATGTTTATGTAGAAACGAGGTATAATCATCTACACAACGAGTTGGGCATATATATTCAACTAGATTTTGACCCACGCCAAACGTGGGATTATATTATTTAATATGTTTTCTAATTGGTTTTCATATTTAAACGTGTATGACAAAACATATGATTACATGATTAAATATGTTTTTAATTAGTTTTAATATTTAAACGTGTATGACAAAACATATGAATCATAATATTTATAAACATACAAAATGATATGTATTGTGCATAGATGTATTAAAGTTGAACTTTGATCAAGCATATTTTGATGTCATTATTTTAATATTTTTATGTCTAAAATTGATCAATACATATGCAAATATTATTTATCTCAATATATGTTAAATGTAAAATTGATTTTTATTATTCGTGTAAATTATAGACTATGTGAGAAATCATACAAATTTTATCATTATATGAATTTGTCGGACATAACAAACAAAAAATAATATATGTTTTCGAATGATGAAATGTATAAATATTTGTAAGTTAGTTATATATGTATAAACTACATCATAATTAAAATATTTGTATAGTATGCTAATCTAAATACATATATACACAATAAATAATTTGTTATAGTAAATCTAAAATATTACATTTAGTTGGGTTTAAAATTTTTAATAAAAAGATATAGAGAATTTCCACCATGGCACATACTTGTAATTGAAATATTTTTAGTTG